GGCCCGAGCACCTCGCGGCTCGAACCCCAGGCCTGCACGGCTTCCCCCCGGGCCGCAGGCGATCCGAGGAGGAGGAGGCGGGGGAGGAGGGGGGGGAGGGGGGGGAGGAGGAGGAGGAGGAGGAGGAGGAGGAGGAGGAGGAGGAGGAGGAGGAGGAGGAGGAGGAGGAGGAGGAGGAGGAGGAGGAGAAGGAGGAGGAGGAGGAGGAGGAGGGGGAGTGAGTGAGTGAGTGAGTGAGTGAGTGAGTGAGTGAGTGAGTGAAGTGAGTGAGTGAGTGAGTGAGTGAGTGAGTGAGTGAGTGACGACGGTCGCGAAGCGAATTCGGGGACTGACGGACCCCGACGGCTAGCCTCGGCTCTGCTGAGGCCCTTGGGCCATCTCCCAGCAGCAGTGCTAGCGAGGTATTCAGCTCGATTGGGATTCGCGGCCTCAAGGAATGGGCGCCCGAGACCTCTCAAACACTGGCTAGCGTAGCATCCACGCTGAGCACAAAACCGCAATTTAAGGGAGGAGGCGGAGGAGGAGGAGGAGATGGAGGAGATGGAGGAGGGGGAGGAGGAGGAGGAGGAGGAGGAGGAGGAGGAGGAGGAGGGTCGCCTAAGCCCTTCGGAGGCACCCTCCTCCCGAGCCCCCCTTTGTTTTGACATGGCAATCTCAAACAACAAAAAAACATTGCTGCGCCGAGACTAGTTTAGAGGCCTCCTAGAGTGGGTCGGAGTAGATGGGGTCGGAGGATCGCACTGCATCCCCGATGCATCGCCGATGCATCGGCGATGCACCAGCGAAGTCGTGATACATCGGAGCCGACGGCGTGGAAGAAATCGAGCTACGCATCGAGCCGCATCGGCGATGCATCGGCGATGCATCGGCAATGCGACGCGATCCTCCGACCCCATCCGGGATGCATGGATTGCTTCGCCTCTTGGGCTCCTCGGTCCGCCAGTGAACCCCAGATGGCAGCAGTGCGCGAGCGATCTGCGTACAGTCAAGGTGCGGTGGCAATGAAACCAAAATGCGGCGGCACGAACATCTCGGGTGCCCCCCAAACATAAACGTAAACTCTTGGCGCTCCACGCGGACTTCTTGGATCCGCGCCGGATCCCCCCTCCCCGGCGCGCGGAGCGCTCCAGAGGCGCCGCCGGGGGGGCCCACCGCGAATCCAAACAATCGGCGAGCGCAACAAGCTTATGTTTATGCCGTTCTCTCTTCTTCGAACCGAGCCCCCTCGTTGGTGCCCCCGAGCCAGTGGCAGCAGGAGTGCCGGGCGGCGAGCGAGGAGGCGCGCGTCCGTGCGGAGGAAGAGGGCCAGGCGCTGGCGGAAGGCCCGCAGTCGGGAGGCGACGCACTCCTCGGCGAGCCTCGACTCGGGGAGGGCAGGAGATGCGGCGACGGGCGGGGTCCTCCTCCTCCTGCGTCGTCGACCCCCTTCCTCGCGCTCTCCCTCCCGCCTCCCTGCCACATGCCGTGATCCTCCTGGTTGCACTCCTCTCGCTTCCTCCCCTTGTTCCTCCTCCTCCTCCTCCCCCTCCTCCCCCTCCTCCTCCTGCTCCTCCTCCCTCTCTTCCTCCTCTTCCTCCTCCCCCTCCTCCTTATCCTTCTCCTCCTCCTCCTCCTCCTCCTCCTTCTCATCATCATCATCATCATCATCATCATCATCATCATCATCATCATCATCATCATCATCAGCAGCAGCAGCAGCAGCAGCAGCATCATCATCATCATCGTCCTCATCAGCATCATCATCCTCATCATCATCAGCATCATCATCCTCAGCAGCATCATCATCATCATCCTCAGCATCATCATCATCATCAGCAGCATCAGCATCAGCATCAGCAGCATCAGCATCAGCATCAGCATCAGCATCAGCATCAGCATCATGATCATCATCATCATCATCATCATCAGCATCAGCATCAGCATCATCATCATCATCATCATCATCATCATCATCATCATCATCATCATCATCATCATCATCATCACCATCATCATCATCCACATACTCCGCGCGCATCCTCCTCCTCCTCCTCCTCCTCCTCCTCCTCCTCCTCCTCCACACACTCCGCGCGCAACCTCCTCCTCTAATTCCTCCTTTCTCTTCATCTTCCTCCTCCTCCTCCACCCCATCCTTCGCCATACTGGTGAAAGTCCGGAGCAAGCGGCTCAGAGATCTTGAGAGTGGCAAGGGTGAAGTGCACCCCCACCTGCGATCCCTGAGCCTCAAGTTCAGGAACATTACTTGTGATCTGCTGTCGGAGCAGCACCTCCCCGTACGATAATTGCTTGTGTACCAGAGGGCACGACATCTTTCTTTTTGGTGAGCTCATGTCGGAGCCCATGGGAAAGCGGCAGGATGCGAAGCACTACGTCTCTTGTACGTCGTGTCGCTGCCGCTGGAACTGGAAGACCAGGGTGTCGCCCCGCTCGAGGCTCCGTGGCGAGATTCGGCGCAAAGGTGCATTGGGCAGGCTCGGGAAGTGCCCCAGGTGCTCGGGAGGTGCTCCGTGGCGAGGGGCGCGTGCGATGCGCAACTCCCAACTATTGGAGCAATTAGGCCGCCGCCCCTCTGAGGAGCACCGAGCACGGATCACCGCCAAGAGAATACGCCCGCCACTTCCAGCAGACCTCCGCCGGCTCCGCCAGAAATACGACCGCCCGCGACGCAGACGGGGGCATGTAGGCAAAGAAGAGGCGAGGTGAGCACAGTGGGCCCAAGACCTTATGAGTTCTCTTGCTGCAGAAGCAAATCTATGATTCTCAAAGGAGCACGGGCATGCCCGCGTCTCGCGGTGAGGAACTCGTGCCCCAGATTCCCCCGTGATGGATATTTGATTCGCCGTGTATGTGGCCCTTCTGCAGGCAGGGAAATGTGAAAAGTTTCTGATTCGGCGGTTCGACTTTGGGCGGAAAAGGGGGGGGAGAGGGGGGCTGGCTCCTGACCTCTGCTTCAGGCGACGATCGGCAAGACGAGGACTAAAAAACGACCACAGGGCTGAAAATCACGGCAGACGATGGTCGGGGCAGCCCTCGGAGACTCGGGGGCCAACATGTGGGAGCTCTCGGGCCTCCTCCTCCTCCTCCTCCTCCTCCTCCTCCTCCTCCTCCTCCTCCTCCTCCTCCTCCTCCTCCTCCTCCCCCTCGATTTCCTCCTCCTCTTCCAGCAGCCGCGCCTCATCGAGCGCTGCCCCGGGGTGTCCGAGTCGCCACGAGCGCACGAGCGGCCGACCACGGCGGGGCCCAAGACCTCCCGGGGCCCGCAGCACCCGGGGCCCCGCGCCCTCCCGGCGAGCCTCGGGCCCCCGAGAGACCGGAGCCGAAGCGGAGCGGGCTGGCCGGAGCCCATGCGGGATCGGGCCGGTGGGATCGAGGTGAGCCGCGGTGGGCGAGCAAGGGAGGGCTGGATGCCCTCCCGTCTCAGAACGACTGGCGCTGCTCCTCCTCCTGGCTGGACTGATCGGTTCGGTCTGGACCCCTGCCGGGGAGACGTCAACTGACCAATCACTGATCGTGGCCAGGCCCATGCGGGGGCCAAGATTGGTGCACACGCCCTCCTGGCCTGGCCAAGGATGCAGACACCCACATCCTGGGGCCAGGACCAGTCTGGACAGAATCGGTGAGCTGTTTCGTTGAGCAACGGAAAGAGACGGGTCTTACGCGAGATGGCATAGCAATCTTACGTGGTGGCTTACGCGGGCCACCGGTGTGGCACGCCACATTGGAAGCGACGGCGCTCACGCGCGACCACCTCACGCAGGCAGCTGACGCGCCAATGCCGGCGCAGACGAGCCCGTTATTCTGCGTCGCTCAACAGATGTCCCCTCATCTGGGCCAAGTGTAGGGGAACAAACAATGACATAAACAGAAAAACTTTGAGGTCCGCGCGGATTTCTCGGATAGGCACTGGACCCCCCCTCCTTGGCGCGTGGAGCGCGCCAGGGGCGGCGCCGGAGGTGCCGCCAGGGGGCTCCAGCGCCGATCGGAGAAATCTGCGCGGACCTCAGAATTCTTATGCTTGTGTCATTGCTTGCTCCTCGAAGGTGCTGTGCCTGGGCCGACAGCTGCCGCCGACCTGCGTGTGAGGGAGGCCACGAACTGGCGGGGCACCTCCCCCTTCACTGTGTTCCCTGCGCCTTCGCCTCCGCCCCTCTTCCCCCTCCTTGCTCGGGCAGGGTGCCCCGAAGAGACGCAGACGCAGACGCGGGAGTCCGCCAGCCGGCGGGCCGGCGGGCCACTCGGAGACGGCGCGGGCGGGCCGGAGCCCGGCCACAGGCGTGGAAAGTTCAAGGAGTCGGAGGACTGCCCAAAGTTAAGTATCGGTAGCACCCTGTAGCCGTGTGCCGTGTGCGCCACCAACCCGATCCTTGCGCAAGAATTCTACAGTGTCGTCAGTCCATCGATCCCGCTGTCCGCCGTGTCCGCTTTGAGCAACCCAAGGGCATGGATATCAGGCTCCCATGCCGCTGCAAATCGGGCGCAACTGCGGTGAGGTTGTGCGGCAACTCGCCCGGCCCGTCTCTGCTGCCTGGGTTTGCTGAGTAGGGGGCACCGGCTGGTTGTGAGCTTATCGCGGAACGAATTAGAATTGCGCCATCCCATGGCCAGTCTGTTGGTGTAGCTCGGCGTGGTGGAAGACGTCCAACGTCAGCTTGCGACCGAAGTATTTGATGCCCTCCTCAGCACTGAGGGATTCGACCTTGTCGTCGTCGATGTCCGCATGTGTGCTTAATGCATCGCCTTCGTCGCCGGCTGGTATTTGCAAGGGTGCTCGTCTTGCCGGGGTGTAACGCAAGTCCGCTCCTCGCGGTTCCGTGCTCGAGGTCTCGCAGGATTCGCTTGAGCCGTCCTGGAATTGGGCCTGGGAGGAAGACGTCGCCAACCCATCTCGTGCTGGTCCGTCGCGTCGTTCGCGCACTTCCCAAATGGCAGGCCGAAGAGAAGCCCGCTCGTGCCCGAAGCCAGGTGCGCCGAAGAGGGGGGCAAAGAATTAGGTCGGGCATGTCCCCCAACAGGCGGATTTCGGGCGAAAAAACAAAATACCCCCACACACACAAATTATGTGTATATATATATATATATATATATATATATTCACAGCATGCAAATAAGTTTCGTCCCCAGAGTAATGTTTGACTGTTGTTGAATAGTCCTCCTGCAGAGGGCCAGGCCCGACTTAAACCAAGAAGAGGGAGGGGCACCGTGGCCCGAGCCAGGTGCGCGGACCACGAGGGGGTCTGGGAAGCAGCACCAGAAGCATCATGAAGGGACAGCCGTCCGACCGAGAGCCGACCGGATTGAGACGACTCAGCGGGGGGGGGGCCTGGGAACCGCTGGAAGAAGCAGGGGGGGCCAGGAGATCTGGGAGATATCGTGGCCTCGGCAGTGATATCCGCACACACAGCCCCCCCCCTCTATTGGACCCTCCGACCCCACGCCTCCCTCTTGCAGTGCTCGGCCCAGGAGAGGTGAGACTGCGACGTACTCGTACTCCCCCAGTCACGAGCCCCCTTCCCCCGTCCACCCCTTCCCTGTACTTCCTCCACCGTCCATTATTCCTCCCCCATTCCTCTTCCCTTGCGTCTCCTCGTCCCCGTCCTCCGCGCTTCTTCCGCCCCCTCTGTGCGCCTCCCCATCTCCGCCTCGTGGGCATCCGACCCCGTGATCGCTGTTCGCAACGTGGCTCCCCAGAGCTATGGACCGATTCCCTCGAGTCCGCGTTTTCATCCTGAGTCGTTGCTTGACGGTCCTGGGGCCATGCAAGGTTAACCTCAGAAGGCCTTTAGAACCACCTTAACAGTGGAAACTAATTATTTGTTCGGCGACTTTCTTGACGCACAGGAGGAGGAGGAGGAGGAGCAGCAGCAGCAGGAGGGACGAGTTCGTTCCTCGCCGAAGGAAACAGGGGAGGGTGGACCCAAAACGAGAGACCTCCTGAGGTCCAGGGCCCCCCAGATGCGAGGATGTCAGGGGCCTCCGCCTCCCTCCCTCCTTTGCCCACTCCTCCGCCGCCGCCGCCACCTGCGTAATTACCTCCTCCGCCCCAGCTCCCTCCACCCTCCCCTAAAAGGCGGCCGCGCACGCCTGAGGTCGAGCATGTCCTCCTAACGGCGGATGCTGGACAAAAAATGTCCTAGAAGAACAAGTATGATAATCGTAATGATCAGAATGATAACGATACTAAAACTAATAATAGTAAACCTACTACTAAGAATAAGAATGCGACGAATAACAGTAAAAACAGTATTATACTATGATATAGAAATAAGAATAAGAATAAGAATTCTAATGATAATAACAATAATGATGATAATAAGAATACTAGCAATAATAATAAGCATACTCATAATAATAATAATAATGACAATAATAATAATAGTAATCGTGCACAGGCTAACAATGATAGTCTTAGTAAGAAGAATCACCATCCTCATAATCATACGCATAATCATGAGCATAATCAGAATACTGATGATGACGATAAGATGAATCATCAAAAATGATCCCACGAAAAACTAACTATAAAATCGTCCCCAAACTATGTTTTGACTATTGTTAAACGTTCCTCCTGTAGAGAGACATGCCCGACTCAACGAAGACCGACGAAGACGAAGAGAATAAAAACAGTCGGCCCACAAACTGGTCCTGGACACCTCCCAGAGGGGCCCGCCCCCTCCTTCCCGGACTGCGCCAAGCCGTGACGACCACAACGCCAAGCAACGCCCAAAAACCTCCGACGTCGCCTGGCGCGACGCCGGGTCTTTGGCGCGGCCGTCCAGCGGCGACAGCGACGGCGGCGGTGGCGACAGACGACCCCAGTCCGACGTCGCGATTTGTTCGCAGCGCGGCTCCAGAGAGGTCTGCGCCCTTCCCGGGGACCGGCTGCTCATGCTGAGTCGCTCTCTGACCGCCCCAGGGCTCGGCCAAGGGCCAGGGACAGACAACGGCAAAAGTCGCTCGTCATGATTTGTCGCACGACGCGAGGATGTCTTGTTTTCGGTTTTCGGATCGTAGCTCGGGTCTCCGGCGGCCGTTCGGGGCGATGCGGGCACCCCCGGAACGCTCTCGGCGAGGCGCAGCTGCTGGAAGAGCAGACGATAACCTCCGAACACCTTCCGCCGTGATTCCCTGCGAGACGCTGTGATGCGACCACCGTTGCGGACAGCGTCTGGGACGAAAACGACCCAAGACCCTCCGTCGCAATCCCCTGAGGAGGAGGAGGAAGAGACGGAGGATTGAGGAGGCACCCGCGACGGCGTCGACGGCGGTGGCAGCGACGGGCCCGGGGCGGCGTCCCCCCCGCTCCAGGCGGCGGTCAGCGGCCGCGGCGGGCGGTCAGCCAGTGGCCCCGCGACCGCCTCACGACGTCGGCCTGCTGCAGCGCGTCGCACGCCCTGGACACCCGCGCCAGGTACCTGGCGGCGCGCACTGGGGACGACGACGACGACGACGACGACGACGACGACGACGACGACGACGACGACGGCGACGGCGACGACGACGACGACGACGACGACGACGACGGCGACGGCCACGGCAACGGCCACGGCGACGGCGACGGCGACGACGGTGATTGGCACGAGCGGCGAGCCCAAATCCCCAGATCCAACGCACTGACAAAAACAAGACGGAGGTCTTTCTCAGCCTCCGCCCGCCAGAGGCCTTCGCCGGGTCACAGGACCGTAAAGAAACTGCTCGGGCGGAAAGGCCAGTTCTGGTAGGGGGAACGAATCGAGTAGGGGGCCACATGCGAACCCTACCCCTACCCCCCACCACTTCTGAGGAGGAGGGTAGGGTTCACTTCGCTCGAGAGCTCCCGAACGGAGTGAACCCCACCTTCCCCCTCAGAAATCGTGGGGGGTAGGGGTAGGGTTTGCATGTGGCCCCCTGTCGAGACGTTTGGGGGCCCCGCAGTGGAAAAGGCAAGGCCTCGGGCCCCTGGCTCTCCCGACAGCATGACTGCCTCAATCTTCGGGGATCTCCCGACCCGGGTCCATCCAGACCCGGGTCAGTCAGGCCTTGCAGAATCCTGCAAGATCCTGCAAGACCCTGCACCCAGACATGGGCCAGTGTTAAGTCGGGCCTGTCCCCCTACAGGGGGATTTTCGACGAAATTAAAAATACCCCAAAAGTAATCCAAACATGACCCAAAAATAGTCTGGGGACTATGTTTGGGGTATTGTTTGACCTTTGGGGGGCATTTTGGGGGTATTTTGTTTTTTTCCGTCGAAGATCCCCCTGTACGGGGACAGGCCCGACCTGAGGCTAGTGCGAAGGATCCTGCAAGATCCTGCAGGATCCTGCACCCGAGCCCGGGTCGATGCGGCCCTGGCCATGCGGGATCCTGCAGGATCGGGCGCTCTGGCAGACCCCCGCTTGCACTGACCCCCGTCTCAAGGCTCCCGAACCGACTCCCGCACCCCCGCCCTGGCGGCAGGCAGAGGAGGAGGAGGAGGAGGACGACGAGGAGGATTTTTTTTTGACATCAACCGTGGCAACCCAGGGCGACGATCAACAGGCGTCGCCCCCTGCTATCTGGCCTGAAGCGAGCCAGCGAGCAGTGAAACAAAGAAAGGAGGGCAGGCGCGAAAGCCACGGGGCGATTTCCCGCAAGAAGGGAGGATCCCCTGTGGCTCGCCGCCTGCCCCCCTAAGCCCACGACCAGAAGAGAATGAGGTCTGGGCGAGACGCACCACGCGCGGAGGACGCATGCTGCATCTCCTAATCTGAGTCGTCAGAGGACGACGAGGAGGAGGAGGAGGAGGAGGAGGAGGAGGAGAAGGATCCCGCAGGATCGGGCGCTCTGGCAGGCCCCCGTTTGCACAGGGTGCCCCGATCTCGGGCCCCCCGAGATCTGGGCCCCCGCTCGTCGGCCTCGGCCTCCGGGGCCCGCTGCCGGGTCTGCCGGGGCCCAGGGGCCTCAGGGATGAAGGAAGGGGCCCAGGGACAAACAACTGAACACACACACACACACATAGGGCGACGAGGTCTATGCATATCCACTGCTCCTGGCCAGGCCCATCCTGGGCCCAGGAGCGGTGTATATGCCTCCCTGGCCAAGCCAGGAGGGCGTATACACAGCTCCTGGGCCCAGGATTGGCCTGGCCGGGAGCAGTGGATATGTATAGATGTCGTCGCCCTAACACACACACACACACACACACACACACACACACACACACACACACACACACACAAATCCCAAGATTCCCCACATGTCCCCCCAGTCTCTGGATTTCCGTCCCCCCCCCCCCCCCGCTTCCATTATGTTCCCACACTTTCCGGGGGAGCGACGGTGGATCGTGTCTCTGTGCCTCTTCCCCTCCTGAGTGGCTCTGGGACGAAGAGCTGCCCCCAGGAGAGCGGTCGGCACAGGGAACGAGGAGCCAGACCTCCGACGATGCAGGGCGGACGCGGCCGCAGAAGACCCTCGCTTGGAGCCCAGCCCTGAAAATGCGCGCGGGCTGGGTAGTCGAAGCCAATCTGGCGCCAATCTGGCAGGCCCAATCTGGCAAACGGGGGCAATCTGGCGAGGGAGCCCACGCGAATCCAGTCTGGCGAATAACCCAAATCATCCAGTTTGGCCGGGCCAGATTGGCCCTTGGGGCCCAATCCAATCTGACAGTCTGGCCTTCGACTACCCAGGCGGGGGGTGCCACTGGGAAATGTCGCACCGCCCGTAGGGAAGTCAGCGCGGCGCGCGCGGGAGATGCAGCTGGGGAGCGTCGCACCGCCCGCAGGGGAGCAACGCGGCGCGCGCGCGCTAAACACGGAAACCCCAAATACCCTTCAGAAAAATCGCCAGGTTTCGTGGTGTGCGACACTACTGCATGGCGTGTTCCCAACCATCCTGCAGTGTCGGATCCTCGTTCTGAAGAGACAGCGCCCCGCGCCTCACCCGCTCCTTCCTCATCCCCCGCCTGCCCCATTCCATGCCTGCCACCTGCCCTCCGCATGTCCACGTCGGCACACACGCCTCGCACGCTTCCTGGCGCAATAGGGAGCTCAACCGAAGGCCCAAGTGACAGGGTTCGCATGCGGTTCCACCCACATTTCGGCGCAACCGTCAAACGTTTCTTGGCGGCGCGCACAAGGGGGTGGAGGGACGGGGGAGGGCTTCTTAGAAGGAGGCTGCTTCTTAGAAGGCGCCAGCCTTACTTCTACAGATAAGGTCCTCTAAGCAGCAGGGGTGTTTCTAATAAGCCCTCCCCCCTCCCCCCACCCCCCTCTGCGCGTGGCTGAGCTTCGTGGCCCCACAGGGAGCTCCGCCGAAGGCCCCAGTGGCAGGGTTCGCATGCGGCTCCCGCCCATTTCGGCACACCCCGTACACGTTTTGCCCACCGCAGGGAGCTCCAGCCAAGGCCCCAGTGGCAGGGTTCACATGCGGTTCCACTCCCCATTTCGGCACACCCCCTACACGCTTGGTGACGTAGGGAGCCAATTCGAAGGCCCTAGTGGCAGATAATTCTAGTATGTCAAACATCCGGCCTTTTCAATAGATTTCGGCCTTCTGGGAGCCGCTTCCGAGTCCCAGGGGAAACGAATCCGAGACGTAAAACGGTCTGCAGGAGAAGCGGACGGCACCTCGAGAGGGGCGCGCATGTTTTGAAAACATGTGTCGTCGGATGTCTGTAGTTAAACCTAAGTAGCCACTTCCACGCCCTCGAGATCTGGATCCCTGGCCGCGATCCTGTGAGCACAGCCGGACCTGGGACAGAAGAACATCCCACAAGAACACGAGGTCCAACGCCGGTCAGAACACACAGAGAACACCCAAGGATACCCTCCTCAGGCTGCACAAGAACATCCAACCTACACCAAGACCACCAAGGTACCCTCCCGGAACCGACCTCGATGTTATGCCCCGGTCCAGATTCGGTTTGGGGGTCATAACTCGGCTCTCTGGTGGCCGTTTGGAACGATCTGGACACCCCCAGAAAGCTCTCGGCGAGGCGCAGCCGCTGGAACGCACCCCGAGCGCGGAAAGCCGACAGGAAACTGCGAAAACCACCGGAAATACCCTCCCCGAAACGACCTCGACCTTCTACCCCGGTCCGACCCTACGCGTTCGCATGGACAGGAGAGCCCAGAATTGAATCGATCAGTCGGATCGGCGATCGAAATGAATCGGATCGGCGGACATCGGCAGCCGCGACGGGAGAAGTCGAATCGGCAGGAATCGGCCAGCCCGTAGACCTCCAGGAAGGAATCGGCATCCACATCGGAATCCCAAGTCGAATCGAATCGAAATCAAATCGAATCGAATCGAATCGAGGCCAGCGAAATCGAATCGAATCGAAGGAATCGGAACGAGCCCTGCACGGATTCCACGCCCCACGCGGGACGCCCGCGAAAGAGTGCCCCACAGCCACGGGGCCCTGGCGCCAGCGCGGCCCCGCAGCCACGACGGCCCGCGGGCAAGGCCGGGCTGTCTCCGCCGACTCTTGGCGGGTGGATCCCTCAAGCTCTCCGCCGCCTCTGGCGGTGTGCGCTGCGAGCAGGAGCACAGCGAAGCCACGCAACGCACACCGCCAGAGGCGGCGGAGAGCTTGAGAGATCCACCTACCAAAAAATGATCCCTGCGCGACCCTACCTAAAAGTTGGAGCCTCTAGGAAAGCAACATTCGTAGGAGCGGTAAACGCCGTCCTCCTCCTTCTCATCGTCGTAGTTGTAGCAGTAGTGGTAGTAGTAGTAGTAGTAGTAGTAGCAGCAGCAGCAGCAGCAGCAGCAGCAGCAGTAGTAGTAGTAGTAGTAGTAGTAGCAGCAGCAGCAGTAGTAGTAGTAGAAGTAGTAGTAGTAGTAAAAGTAGTAGTAGTAGTAGTAATAATAGTAGTAGTAGTAGTAGTAGTAATAGTAGTACTAGTAGTAGTAGTAGTCGTAGTAGTCGTAGTAGTAGTAGCAGCAGTAGTAGTAGTAGTAGCAGTAGTAGTAGTAGTAGTAGTAGTAGTAGTCGTAGTAGTCGTAGTAGTCGTAGTAGTAGTAGTAGTAGTAGTAGTAGTAGTCGTGGTAGTAGCAGTAGGAGTAGCAGTAGCAGTAGTAGTAGTAATCGTAGTAGTAGTAGTAGTAGTAGTAGTAGTAGTAGTAGTAGTAGTAGTAGTAGTAGTAGTAGTAGTAGTAGTAGTAGTAGTAGTAGTAGTAGTAGTAGTAGTAGTAGTAGTAGTAGTAGTAGTAGTAGTAGTAGTAGTAGTAGTAGTAGTAGTAGTAGTAGTAGTAGTAGTAGTAGTAGTAGTAGTAGTAGTAGTAGTAGTAGTAGTAGTAGTAGTAGTAGTAGCAGTAGTAGTAGTACTCGTAGTAGTAGTAGTAGTAGTAGTAGTAGTAGTAGTAGTAGTAGTAGTAGTAGTAGTAGTAGTAGTCGAAACCAATTGCCCTAGCCAGCTCAACCTGCCAATCCGTCCAACCTGCCAGCCAGCCCACCCAGCCAACCCCGCCACCTAGCCAACCCGTCAGCCAACCAGCCCAGCCGCCCACCCCGTCATCCCGCCAACCAGCCGATCCCCTCCGC